ATATATAGTATGAATAATTATTTTTAATACTATTAAAAACAATAATAATATAATAATACCAGTTTATATCAGTCTTATATTAAATGTGTATTGGATGAGTACTACGTACATACATAGTATTTAAATTAAAAGAAATTGCTTTTAGGAAAAAATTTTAAAATTTTAAATTATACGTTAAAGCGATTTTCGTAGCTGCAATTCATTTGTTAATTTGCCATTATCAGCTTGCAAATATATGCTGATAATGATAAATAATAAATTATTGAAATTCGTTATAAAGTGTAAGGTAAACGTTCATTACTAAGGCGTAAAGAGTGTTTAAACCTAACATAACCGTCTTTTTACTCACCAACTAAATTAAAAATTTAATAAAAAAAAAAAAAAAATCATTTGTTGTTCTTCTATTGGAGAAATATTTCTGGTTGAAGACAAAGCTTACAATTTAAAATAACCAACGATATCGGAACGCCGCCGTAAATCCATCAGTTTAATTTTACAGTTTTTCAAAATTATCACGAAAACTACTAGAAAAATCAAAAGCCGAGTTCTCTCGCGAGCATTTATATCCAAAAATGCAACAAAAAAGGCCTCTTTGAATTTTTGATTTTTAACAATATATCTGGTAGAAAACATAGTTTGCCATAATTAAAAACAACGAAGTCGGTAACGCCACGGCACGCCATAAATATTTGCTGTTTTACCTATAATTTTGTTTTCAGTTTTTCCCAATTATTTTAAAAACCCAATTGGATAAAATTCCCATTCAGAAAATGTCTGTACATTCTATACGTTGAGCAAGATATCTTCAAAATACGCAAATGTTTTTGTTCATGCAGATTGATGTTTGAAATTCCCGAACCGCCCAAACAATGTACCTGTTGCTTTCTGTTCCTAGGACTCTGCCGACTTGTGAATTGAACAGAAGCGATTACGTTATTCCCAGCAAAGGCATCAGCCGTATTAAGTAAATAGAGTATTGTGTATTTTATAACACAATCTGCCGGCCTTTCAGTAGTAAAACCGTGTAATACAATAGAGTATTTATATTCGGTTATTTGCTTTTCGAATCGTGTTGATGCGTTTGTTTTGCGCGAATCTCCGCGCGTTTATTTATTCAGATTAATTTTCTTCTCCGGAACACTTAAATTATAATTCACGTCCGCCCGTAGTTCTAGATAACCTAAAAAAAAAAAAAAAAACCAACTGCGCAACTGAATAATCGTTATTAGTTTATATTTATCGTGTGTTATATACAGTTCGAAATTTCAAACGCCGCAGACTCATTATACTTTCATCGTCAGAAAAGTCATTCGGACGGCGAAACACTGAATTATGTATGGTGTAGACCCGCTGCAAAATTGTACGTGTACAAGGAATAATTTTTGGATTCGATATCGGAAAAAAAAAAAAAAAGAGAAAAAAGAACCCCGATTAATCCGTTTGCTATATGATTTATATCGTATTATTTAGTGTCGACCGCTGCAGTATAAATAAACGAAAATATTTCTTGTATCATAGTATCATACGCTGTCATGATACATCATTCATTATTTCGAAAATCGAAAGTAGTTATTCGTTTCACGCAACGACACGATGCAACATTATTTTTCGTTAAAAAAAAAAAAAAAAACGCTTTCGGGGCTAGTATAGAGCTTAAAAGTACCCAAACTATAATCGTATACGCGTAGTTTTCACACACACACATATATATATATACACACACACACACACACACATGTATATATTTTTCTGGTCACGTATTTCGAATATATGTATACGTGTATACAGTGTGTCCCATGAAGATATACCGAAGAAGTGCACAGTAAATTAATCGTAATAACAATAATTATCAATTAGAGAACGCGATTACAGTCTACTGCATAAGACTGTATGTACTTTTCTCGGAACTTTATTAAAACTATGAACAAATCACGAATTTAACGAAAAGAAAAAGTTGATACGCACACATTTTCAGAAAAATAAACCCTATGAAATGGCTATTTCACAATTTTTCAAAAATAATAAAATAAAATATTTTTTTTTTTTTTAAGTTTTTTACCAAAACACAAACAATTAACTGAAGTATAAATATTTGTAGTCCTTATATATGTGAATAATATAATAATAAAAAAAAAAAAATAGAATTTGATTATCATTATTATTATCTATATATTATATATTTATACTGGATGATTCACTAAGCGTGCTTACTCCACTTTTTCGGTTAAATATTGCATATGTAAGTTTAGGTAAAAGGAGAGTAGCGGAGCACTAATAAAAGGCTACGCGCCGTGATACCTCACTACTCTCCCCCTACCTAAACTTAAAAGTGGAATATCTCGTCAACGGGTTGACGGAAATCAGAAAACGTTAACACACAACAAGTTATTTAAACTAATATTTATGTAGTTTTTGAATATAATTGGTTCTTATTTGAAAAACCGACGTTGGTATTGCCACATTATAAACTCTTTAAATGTAAAATTTAACAAAAAAAAAAAAAAAAATGGGGTGAGTACGCTTAGTGAATCACTCTGTGTACGTAATATTTTAGTACGCATTATGTATTTTCGTGATAATTCGAATGCCAAAAAATAGAATTCGTGCCTATTAATCAGGGCTTTGTACCGGTTAAAACTGGTTTCGTTATTAACTGGTATTATTGGAAAATTTACATGAACGATAACGTAACCGGAACCACAATTGGTTATTTTATACAACGAAAACGAAATGTTTAACCAGAATTATTTTTCGTTCGTAAACTGTTTTTTTCATTGCGGCCTTTATTGTTGATTAAGTACACACGAGATTGTTGGTTAGTGTGTTTTATACTTTAATGATTAGAGATTAGACAGCCGAGTGTTATCGTCGGTGCTATAATCAAATAGTTTGTGGCGGGACTACCGCCACAGCATTCACAATTTCATCAAGTATATTATCAAGTATGTTATCTGTATATGCATACATAATTATATTTTATTTGCACTTTTTAGATTAGTGTTGGGACATCATTTTCAGGCATAAAATACACATTAAGTGATTTAAGAACAAGCCTCGATCAAAAGATATTGGAAGGTATTGTGATTATCCGTGGTGATAATTAGTAATTAGTTATTTTTTTTGTTAGATACAAATTATAAGTTTATAATTTAATAGTAAAGTATTATAGTTTATTTAAAGTTTAAAATGTTTAAATTCATATTAAAATAAAGTAAATTCATATTTAGTTTTATGTTTCGTTTTTTATGTTTAGTAGTAGATAAATATTATATATTATTGTACTACTACTGCTACTTATTACTTACATAGTTGAACGTTGTTATTATACAGGTTGTAACCAGGACTATTTGTGTTTTTTACATGTAACTCCAAGAAAAATAAATTTAAAAAGAACAAAATTAAACGGTTTTATTAATTTGAAAACCGGTTTTAAAAAACCGTAGGATCAATATTAACCGGCATTTGAAATCGAAAAAAAAATAGAAGAAGACCTAAAACCAATAACCGCAAATAATTATTTCGGTTTGAAGCCCTGCTTCTAATACATATACAATCTTTTAGATTTACATTTAAATTGGAAATCGGAAATTTCGACGGTTGAAATTCGATTTCCAGTTCATCGTATTATATACTTACCGCATTATATTCACACTACGGGTCGATGCTGCGAAGCGTAATAACACGAGTTTTGAATTTCTTCGATATGATAGCGACGAAATCGTGTATACTTACCTATCGAAATGCTGTTTTACATTATACAATTGCCCAGTTACTCTGCACGGTATAGTACGTGAACTACCGTTATTTTAAGAGGATTTTAAGGGTTGCAGTTTTCTCGGCTTTTTATCAACTCAAAAATATTCAAATACACTTCAACTAGATTTACAAATAGTCCCGTGTCATAATCACAAACGTTTATTAAAACCATTTCTCACGGACATAATCTATACGAGTTAAGTTAAGAAACCCAATGTTTACCATAAAACAATGAAAACTGCTTGTACTGTGAAACTTTGGCTTTAGTTGTTCGATTTTACTATTACGTCGTAGTCATACGTGTTAAAGGTTAAGGGAGACACCACCCCTGTGGAACATCAACATACATTTTTGAAATTCCCGATGTTGAAAAGCCATACCGGACTTGAAATTATCGGCGAGTTAAATAAAATATAATATGGGAGACAAATTATTAGTGATATGAGAAATTCCGTTTCAAAATTAACCAAAATAAATCAACACTCGAAAAAGGCGTCTGCTTGAATGTTTCCTCAACAAACGCATTCCTACATCAGATACTGCAGTTAAGTACTTGGGACTCAATTTAGATACGCGATTGATCTGGATTAACCATACTCGAACTAAAAAAAAAACGAACCCCAATTCTTCAAATTCAAAATTTACTCGATGTAAAACTCGAAATCTATCATCATTATTTTTATACTACGTGTTATTTGTTTTATTTTCAAACGTTTAGTTTATAAAGTAGTTATAAACATTGTTTGATAATTAAAAGAGTGTGAGTAAAACCACCTACAGTAAAGTAATATGTGTGCCTGAAAAATAAAATTCAGAAATATAGAAGACTCTTGTTTTGATGGAGTTAACATTTTGAAACTGTAATATTAATTCGGTAAAGTTATATAAAAAAAAAACCCATACATTTTGCAAGGATTTTAACCTAAAAGGTTTTTTTTTTTTCAAAAGTAGTGACGTGACTTAAAACTATAAGGTAAAATAAGGCCTCGGTGACATCCATTTTGATAACTCTGTCTACACCGCAAACGGAATCCTAAATCCTGCACCACTGCGGGTATTCTATACCTTCTCGACTTCCTATCTATAACGGTAGTCAGTAGACTACCCAGTTATCCGCAGTGCGAAGTGTGTCCGTCTTCAACTGTATACATTATACAAATTAAAGCTCATCTCGTGTATTTAGATAAAAATACCATCGTAATGGCCGGTCCGGCGTTTGTTTTTTGGCATTTCCGGTGATGCGTTCAATTCTCGTCGGTCTCGCTACCGTCGTTGCTGCAACGTCTGGGGTACCGCCGACTTCTCCTGGAGGACCTCCTCCTACGCCTCCTCCTGCGGCTACCGCATCGGTTCCTCCGGGCCGCCGTCATGTCCTTCGTGGCGGCGGCGCTGCCGCTGTTGCTTTCCGACGACGACGACGACGACGATCCGTCGCCCGTCGACTTGTTCTCCCCGTCTTCCTTCGCGTTACGGCGCCGACCGGACCTCCGCCGCCGTTTCCTGCGGCGCGCCGTCACCATTTCCCCGGACCCCTCGTCTTCGGTCGTGAACGCGTCATCCGTGTCGGAGTTGTCGTTGTCGTCACCCGAGTCCTGACTGCTCGGCCGCCGCCGGGACCTGCGGGACGATGACCGTCTACGCCGCCTGCCGCTTCTTCTCCGGGACCGACGGCTCCTCCTGCGGCGGCGTGCCATGGTGACCGTGCCGTCGAGGTCGTCCGCCGCCGCGGCGGACGACGCGGCCGCCGCAACAGTCACGTCCATCCCCTGCCCGCTGTCGGTCTCGTGACGGTTCGCGTCGGCCGCTCTACCGCCGGACACGGAGACCGTCCGGATGTCCTTTGTCACCGACTTTACGGCCATCGACGTGTTATCGTCGGGCGGCGATCGTTTGTCGGCCATTATCTTATTTGTTCCGCTCGCCGCCGTCCAGTAAAAAAACGCGAGAACAACACACGAAATTACACAATACTCGAATTTGCTCCCGTTGAATGGGACTAAAGTTAAAACGGTTCTGTCGGCGTCGCGCGTCAGACTGAACGGTCGCAGACAATACGGTAAACTGTACGCGGTTTCCACGGAGCGCCGAACGGTTTTCGATTTTGTGTTTTTATTTTCGGCCAGCCCATTTTCTTTGTTGCTATATTGTAATATGGTCCGCGTTTCTGTCAAACGTATAATTGATTTTAGATTCTGAGCGAACCGAGGGATGCATTGATTTTACTATGATGTGTGTGTGTGTTTATTATTTTTTAAAATTATTTTTGTGTCTGTGGGTGATTTTTCTACCGTACATGTCGCTCCAATCAAAACACGACAAACGACTTCTCCAGTTGGTGCGTCGAGGATTTTTTGAAATTTTCATTAATATTCGAGGTAACGATGAGGAACTGCAGGTTCTTTAGGTTAAAAAAAATAAAATTAAAAGATTGAAAATAGGGCAATATTAGATAATGAATAATAACCAAGTAATTTATATTTCTTAACAGATCCATGTCTAACTCATTTTAAATAATCTCTCCAATTAAAACAAATCCTATGTAAAACGACCAATTTGTATAACATTTTTGCTTTGTATTCGTTCATTTATTTATTCATATTCAGTCGCGTTTTACTTTTTGACTTTTTGATTTTAACTGACGGTGAATTTTTAATTCGAAACCGGTCGTACAATACACATTTCATAATACTTCAGGCGACGTATTTATTTATTTATATATTTAGTAGCTGTCCCGCGCCCGGTGTTGCCCATGCCAGTTTTCGTTATTATTATTTTACCCATATTCAATTTTGGTTTTGGCCGTGTCAGAATTGAATGAAAACAAATAGGTGGAAAGTGGGTAGTCCGCATTCGGCGGACTAGATGTGCTCTATTGTGAAATTTTAATAGTGTAAATAATAATAATAATAATAATAATAACTAAAATATTTTTCTTTTCCGTAACACCAAGGTAACCCTCGAATAAACCAAAACAAATAATTAAGCAATTATAGACATTCGTATCGAATATACCTAAAACCCCTATTTTAACCCCTTAGAGGTGGGATTTTCAAAAATCCTTTTTTAGCTGATGCCTACTTCATAATAGTTATCTGCGTGTCATATTTTAGCCCGATCCGTCCTGTGGTTTGGACTAGGCGATGATGAATCAGTCAGTCATGATATGTTATTTTATATATATATACATAGATTTACGAGTATTAATCATTTAATCATTTTGTTTCGACTTTATTATTCCATTACTTTACTTTGGTCAACAAACGAATTTTGAACTTCTAACATTTATAAAGGTACTGTGACTAAGTAATTTTTGAATTGGTGTACGTACAATTTACGAGACGTATTTTTTTTGTATTCAATATGAATTTTTGCGATTACCTATATTAAATACTAGCCCGGCTTTGCTTGTGCAATAAATGCTTATCTTTGTATTAGGTTAGATTACTAAAGATTTACCCAAGCTTATGACTCGTAGTAAGTTTCTTTTGCTGGTATGGTTAAAAACTTTTTAGCTTTTTAGGTGTTTATTTAACTGCTCAACGGTGGCGACCTAACCTGCTAATTCCTTGTTTTAATCCCCGTCAATATCACTGAAGTTAACCGTTATTGCCCTTAAATGACCATACAACAAAAAAATCACATTTTTTTCTTCATTACGTATTATTATTATTAAAAATTTGTTATGTTATTACCGGGAAAAACAGATGCATTGTCGGTTATTTATTAAACGGCTGTTATTATTGTTTTATTATCAGTAAAAATAATTGTATTTATATCTAGCATAGAGTAATATTCTATGACATGAATTAAGATTAAAGTTATCTTTAGTACGTGATAGTCGTGATATCAAGTGATTAATACTTAATTAATATTTGTTTTATTTTAATAGCTAGGTTCGTTTTATGCCTTTTGCTATGACAAATGTGTGCGTACAGTTAAACATGTTGTTTTTTGCTAATACGTTTTGAATTTCCATTCAATTTTAGATTGTGAAAATGACGTTGTGCTCTGTTTTCAATTGCAATGAAAGGAGTGAAAAGCAATCTTTATCTGGAGTACATTTTCATGTATTTCCATGTCAATCAAAATCACCAACTAGGTTTCGAAGTTGGGTCATTTATTATAAACGAAAAAACGTTAACCCTGGTGATGGCGCAAGAATTTATTCAAAGCATTTTAAGTCTGAAGACTATAATTAATGTCCAATATATAAGTCAAATTAAAACTTAATGCAAATGCTGTTCCTACGGTTTCTAAAAATATTCCCTCTACTTCAAGTTCTTCAAATTTATCCGAACGAGAAAAAAGACAAAAGTCAAAAGAAAAAAACAAATTGTATCTTCTTTAATGACAAGTACACTAAAAAAGATAAAGCCCTCAAATGAGGGCTAAATAGGTCTTTTGAAAAAAATGAACGTGAATCGAGTGATGATGATGTAGAAGACGGTAATTTAGTGGCGATTAAAAATAAATCATTTGTGGCTGGTAAATAAAACGTGGTCGGTATACAATCTGAATTAGGTAATGAAGTATTAAAAGGTCACCTTGGTTTATCATTCGATGAGATTTCAACTTTGGGGAATGAAAGTTTTGAAATTTGTAATGATGACATCGAAGTATATCAAACTGGACAAATTCCATGAATAAATGTAAATCTAACAAAATAGAAAACGATTCGTGTTACATTGTTTTCTGGGAGTGTTTGTCAATTTTATTTATACGTTGCCATATAACTGTAATGCTTAAGTGGAAAGTATTCATAATTATACCAAGGGACCAATGTTGGCCGTACAAATTATATGTGGAAATGGGCATATTTTCAAATGGACATCTCAGCTATTATCTGGTTAACGACTTGTAGGAAATATTTTAATGGGAGCTGCTTTAACGTTATACGGTGTATTATTTAATCAAATGAAAACCTTTGTTCGTCTTTAAAACTTGCATTTTTTTCAAGAACAGTTTATGATAAAATCATTAACAACTAAATAGCAACTGTAGTTAAACTAATTTGAGACCACCATAGATAAAATAGTACACACGAACTAAAAATGAGTAGAAGTATTTGGTTAGCTAGTGATGGTCACCGGGATTGCCCCGGTTAGTGCGCCAAGTATTACACGTACTCAGTCATGGATGTTCGAAGCTCCAAAATAATAGATTTTAAAATTACTCAAAAAGGAATGGTACAGGATGATTTAGAAAAAAAACCATGCAAATCAATACTTCAAGAATTTGAGAAAGAACGACGAATATAACATTAATGTATTTTTGACAGATCGACATAAGGTAATTAGTTGTTATATTTGAACACATCAACGGATATCAAACATGAGTTCGATGTTTGGCATTTATCAAAAAGTTTGACAAAACGATTAAAAACTCTAGAAAAAAATCATCATAGTGCGTTCATGTGAAAAACAAGTATAATATATCACTTAGTGATCTGCTCAAACGTGCAATGGAAATAGAACTGTGTTAGTTGAAAAATTTACATCAGTTCTGCATCACATTTCAAACATTCATCAGTGAAATGATAATGGACAGATAAAAAATTATAAATTATTATTTTGTATCCGGTCCGATCTACTGCGGTTGAGTTTCACTACTTCTACTGGTTAGATCGAGGATTTCAATAGCTTAAAACCTTTTCCGGACAATGTGGATCATTTTACGGAAAGCTGCATACAAATTGGTCTAGTAGTTTCAGAGACCATGCGTGACAAAGATTTTCATTTCAAATTCATACATATATAGATTTACATATTAGTTATTAGGTATATTACACATGTTATTATTTGAAGTTTCGATTAGATAATTTTTCAAAATAACTATTTCTAGGAACATATACAGAGTACCTAATCTAAAAATGTATGTGAAGTTTATTACCTACAATCCCCCGATTAAATTTTACACTATTCTAATTTATAACCCATAAACGATAAATCCGTATCAATCATATGAATTAACGTAACTTTAAAAAAAACATATCTATTATTCTATTTATAAAAAACAAGCAGCGATATAAACTCTCCAACAACACATTTGTATTGGATATCTTTAAATCTCGAATAATATTACGATTTAGTTAGAACAATTGATTATGAAGAGTGTCTTATTATTTTATTTTTAAAAAACTATAGCATTTTTTTCTCGACTATTTATGTCATGGTTTGGTTCCCAATGGATAGGCGTGATCTAAAATCCACAAATTTCATTATATAAATTATTTTGAAACCAATATTATTAAATATTCCATATTAAATTATGTATTTTATTTTAGTTTCAACGAGATTATTAAAAAAATTTAATTTTTTTTTAGGAGCTATTATAGCCATTGTTTGGAAAAATAAAGGAATTTTAAACGCCTCGATCACAAATTTTTCAATGGATATTTATGAAGCTCGTATGTCAATACACCTATACTATAAAATTGAGGAAAGGTTTGAGGCACTTCGACCCCTTGATTATTATTATTATGTGAAACAATAACTTCTACTTTAGTTATGCAGCAAAGTGAAAAATATAGATAATAATAATATTCATAATTTAATAATTTATAATTTATAATTTTACAATAATGTTTTAACCATCCCTGTTCCAGTGTTCCCTTAGAAGAATCGTTATAGCGACGATACGGAAATTGTACAAAATTCAAAATCTAATTTTGGTTGTACGAAATTTTACAAAATAAAGTACATTAATATCGACGTAATCGTCGGCACGGTTGAAATTTTAAATTTGATCAAATTAATGGTCCTGGCTCCTGGTTGCTAGGGAACGTTACCGCAAAACCCGTAAGATGAAATCGAATTTAGAGGATTTTCGAGGGTCGTACAAAATTTAATTTTGGTTGTACAAAATGGCGTACAAACAATTAATGTATTCGTGGTACACTTTTCATACCACGTATAGAAATACAAAAGAAAGAAGAAGAAAAAAGAACAGACTTATTTAAAATTTTTTTTTTTTAAATTTAAATATGTTATTATTTTATCTTAAATATTACACCAATAATAAATATTATACGACAATTTTTCTTAAAAATTGTTATCCAATTTAGAATTCTCCATAATAATGATTTAAAAAAAAAAAAAAAAATATTATATAAATAATAATAATAATCACTAAAAATAAATAGGCACATTAATAACATTTTTTTTTTTGTATTCATTCTTACGACTACAAAACTATTATAGTAAAAAATATCACGAAAATTATAATGAAGTTAAAAAAAAGAATTATCTTAAAAAATATATAAATAAGCTTAGAAATTAGCGTTCGTGTACACATACAAATGTATTCATATATAATAAATAAATAAATATAAATATATATAATATATTATACATGTGTACATGTACATATATTTATATATTACTATATATATAAGTAATATGTATATGTGTGTGCTGTGAATATATAGTTGTGCATATTATTATATTTTTAAGTTTGTTATGTATGAATAAATATAATATAGGTATCGTTAATTTATTAGTTATGTAGATAGTGAATTAAAAAAGTCGTATTTCATTGTAAATTTAAATGTTCGTAGATAATTTAAAAATCGTTTGAATTTTTATTCTCGACAAGACGAACGAATTAGAGACAGAATAAAAAAAAAAACAATAATAAGTCGATACCTGCGTATATGAAATTACATTGTAAATTAATGCAATTATTTAAACGGTTTTCGAATATTTAGAATTCATTATTATTATTGTTAATATTACTTATTATTAGTATTTTTTTTATTTTTTTTTTTTCAATTTTAAACCATCGTTTATTAGTGAGTGAATCTTTTTAATATTCCATTACGATAAAATTAAAATTTCAATATATGGTATATATTAATATATTATAAATTTTGATTGTCTGTTTTTTTTTTTTTTTTGTTTTTTCTTTGATAAAGTCGTCTCTTGTCCTTCAATGCTATTCTAAAATGAAAAACAATGGCATATGTACATTAATATGCATACTCTTTATAATAAAATATAATATTATACGTGTCCGATATCAAAAAAAGAGGTGTCGCGAAGATATACAAAAACATGTAGGTTCAACGTTTCTTTTTTTAATCGTAATATTTTTATACCTTCGTAGTTTATTTTATAACATGTATTTTATTATACGCGTCACAAAAAAATATATATTATAAAAATGTTATCATTATAGTATAGTATTTTTGTAATGAGTTAAATTTTGGTTTTTTTTTTTTTTTAAAAATATTAACTACAATGTTATACATTATTTGGTATTCATACGGTATAGTTTTATTTATTTGTTTTTTGTAATACGAAGAGAAAAAAAAATGATGTCTTTATATATATATACGGTAATGTCTGTCCGTCATCGTCATTGCAGCGAGATATTATTTGTCTCGAGTTTTTTTTTTTTTCCCCCAATGACGTTTAATTTGTAATTTTGAATCGCGGAGAAAACAACTCAGAAGGAAGGGGGGGGGGAGTCAAAAAATTATAAAAATGGGTGAATGTAATGCCTAAAGATTGAAAATAATTTTGTCTTGTTTTTTTGTCCGTTATAAAAGATAGGTGACGGAAGAAGGTGGTATTTTTTGTAAAAAAAAAAAAAACCGAGGTACTCCGTTTCCGCGTCTCCTGATTCCTCAAATCGAACACTAGTGACTCAGGGGAAGAGAGAGAGATAAATACATGTGCGAAAATTCAATAAATTCATAATTGTATATTATGATGACGTACGAATTATTTGCGTATTGTTAAACACACGTTATCGTTTTATGAACGTGCGTCATGTAAAATTATAAGGAACGATGCGTTCGTTGACCACGATAGAACGACAAGGACAAACATTACACGCGTTTCTACCATATTGTGATAATATTATTATTAAATTAAATTAATTACGTCACTCGTAGATTTGCAATCTGTATAATATGTTATAATGTGCAACTATATTGTAGGTAAAGATGATAAAAAAAAAAAAAACATTAACAAACTCAATAAATAAATAAATAAATAATAATAACTATAAAAAAAAAAAAAATAATAATAATAAAGGAACAAAAAATTATAAACTTTTAACATGTACACTTTTTTTTTCAAAATAAAACAAATTTTATTTGTGTAATAATATTATTGTTCGTAAAAATGTTGTTATAAGTATACGTACATTTATTACGACTATAATATAAATTATGATAATATTATATAATATGAAATTACATTCTGGTAAAAAAGTGTTTTTCTGGAAATTCTTGATAAATTTAGTGCTAAATAGTATTTTTTTAAAATTTTTTTTTTTATATATATATATTTTATACGGTTGTTTTGTCCCCCAGACGTCACCTACCTACGTGATATTCACGTGATATATTTCGGCCGGGAATTCGCGAGAAAACTATGTGGTTTTTTTTTCTATTTCGTTTTTTTTTTTCTTTGCTGTTCGACGTGATAAAAAAAAAATCGAAACGTATTTGCGTCGCCACTGTCCGAATATCAATTCATCAAACGGTTAAAGGATTTCCACGAACAGTTGGATAGTATAATTGTTTTTTTTTTTTTTTTCATCGCTTTTTTCGGGTTTATTAAATTTTCGCAGTGAAAAATGTACATTTTTCCAAAAGTCTTACGTTACATCCGAACCGTTGGACCACCCAGACGTTTTCCGTGTCTTTGAAAACCGATGTTGTCAACGTTGTCGCGAGACAAATCTCCCCGCTGTCAAGAGACTTTTGCAGGCGGACGTTCTCTCCGCATAAAAATATGTTACGATATTATAACACGACGATGCGGATATAATAATATCACAATGACTAATATTATGGGTAGGTACTTTTGAAAAATATTTCGTTTCGCGGACTACTCTTTAATTTTTTTTTTTTTTGGTTGTTGTTTTTAAATGGCCGATAAGATGATATTACGGACGATTTAAAAACTACAACAAAGGCTGCGGAGAGACGAACAATAACGGACGTGCATGATATAGCATAATATAGCTGGCAGGTATAGTAGGGCGATTATCGCGCGTAATTTTAATTTGTTTAAAAGTTTAATAGAACAATATAAGCGCTAATATTAAAATGCACGGTTATTTTGTTCAATGCATCACAAGAAAAGTAGAGTAATATCGAGTTTATGGTGGGGCGTATAGGCGCGACCGAGGGGGGCTTGGGGTGGGGGGGGGAAAGTCCCTCCGGTTTTCCGAACAGCCCCCCGCCCCCCTCCAGTCACGCCGAACACATAGTTAGATCTATTAATATTTTATAACAATTGTTTGTATTTGTTCGCGCGGTTACAACGACGCAGGTGGTACAATGTATTATTTTCGAATTCAAGCGAATATATCTGTTCGGGGCCGTAGCTCCCGGGAATTTTCACCCTAATTGCGCCCGCGGGAGGATATGGGGAGGGAATTGGAAATCGTTTTGTCGCTAACCGTAGCTACGGAACGCCGGAACAGAAGGACCCGGGACCAGCGGCACAGACACTGCGAACTTCGCGGTGCGGCCCGTACAAAAAACTGCGGTCGCGGAGCGCGGGCGGTCCGTGCGACATGAATGTGGCTGGCGACCGCCGGTCCAGTGGCCCCATTAACGGTAACCGGCAACCGCAACGCAACAACAATAATATTGCGCGCATCGTGTTTGTCGTGTCGAGATCCGACCACTAACTCGGGGAAAATCCCGTTTCGGGAGATTTTCGGCGGTTTTCAAAACGGACGCCTCGACCGTGCACCGCTGTACACGCGCGCGCGGGTACACGAACTAAACGATGATTTTTTTTTTTTTAACTAATTCCCCCCCCCCTCTCCCCCGATTAAACGTTTCGCACACACACACACACACACACACACACCGCAATACAATAACGTAACAGAACTGATAATTATTGTAATAATATTTATTCATAATAATTTATATATCAGATAGGTATAATATAATAATATAATGTAATAATATAATAGTAAATATATTGTTGTTATCGATTTCACACAAATTAAAATAACATAAATATTATTATTATTAATATAGTATCATCAAACATTATAAATACCGAACAGCAATAATTTTCGTATATTCTCGTGTATTTTAACAATAAATATGTAATAATAATAATAAATTATGCATCGTCGTACGGCGATTTATATTATACGGATTACGGTTGTGTGTAGATATAAATTGTATATTTGATTAGGGTTAATTTATTATAATATTTAATTGAATAATAACGTATGCTCGTTTCATTGTAATATACGATCACCGATTGGTAAGATATTATCTTAACGGATTGAAGATAATTTATTAAAGGAAAACGAAAAAAAA